GATGATTGGTCCGGAGCTCCTGGACTCAAGGGATCCTCCTGCCTCAGTCACTTGAGTAGTTAGGACTGCAGGCTTTGCCACAGTGGCCTGAGAACAAAGACTGTTTAACAGTTTTAATTGGCTTCTGTTTAAACTGCAAACCGGTTTGTGAACGGAGGTCAACACACTCTGGATGAATGCCCGAGGGCCACAGCCCTTAGGTCTGGGATGTGGGTCTACCACAGGGTGGACGGGTACAGCATTCATCCTGTCAAGGAAATCTTATCATTTCCTTCTTTACTATTCAATTTTCCTTTTATTTTGAGACAGGGTGTTACTTTGTAGCCTTGGCTGCTTGGTTGACCTGGAACTCACTATGGAGACCAGGCTGACCTCAAATCCTCAGATGATATCCACCTGCCTCAGCCTCCCCAGTGCTGGGACTAAAGATGTGCACCATCATGCCTGGCAATTTTCCATATTTTAAAGTAAAATCTAAACTCTGAAAATGGCCAATGAGATTCAGCCACTTGTGCTTAGCTCACCCCGGGCTATGAATTTTATCCAGCTAACAATAGCCACGTGCTAGGACCCCATGTTTACACTCAACACACACTGATGGTAACACAAGCAACCAGTCTTTCCTAATTCTAAACCTTTTGCTCTTTGTGAGCTTTCGGTTTTTTTGTTTTATTTACTTTGTATGTATTCTGTAGGTGCAGGTGTGTATAAGTGTGCAGCTGGAGGTCACAGGTCAACTTCGGGTGTGGTTCCTCAGGAGTGGTTCTCTACCTCGTGTTTGGAGAGGGGGTCTTGAGATGGCCAGGGGTCCCCAGGGATCCCCGTCTCTGCCTCCCCAGCACTGAGGATACAAGTGCATACCACCATGCCTGGCTTTTTCATTTGAGTTTTGGGGCTCAAACTCAGGCAAACACTTTTATATTTTTAATTGTTGAAGCAGAGCTTTCCTATATTGCTCAGGCTAGCCCTGAATTCCTGGACTCAAGTAATCCCCCTGTCTCAGATTCCCAAGTAGCTAGATTTACAGTCCCACCCCTCGATGGTGTTTGCTTTTACAATTGGAAAAGTAAAGCCATTCCTTTGCTTTACGGTGCCAAGTCCTGATCCCTGTCTCTAAATAAGCAACATAAAAAAGAACTGGGTTGAGCAAACTGTCAGGTCCTTTCCAACCCTTGTTTAAGTACAGCTTATTAAAAAGAGCTGCTCCCAATGAACAATGGGGTCTGAAACCCCACAGCAGGCTCTCCCGTGGTGGAGCTGCTTGCTCTCAGGGAGAAATGGCCCCTGGCCTGGCTCTTACCCCTTAGCCTCTTCCCCTCTTCCTTCAGGCTACCTTATCAGAGAAGCAAAAAGCCTGGGGACTCAGCCCTGCCAGCCACCCTGAAAACAAACACCAGGCCACGTGTCCAGCCAGTACAATCAGCAAGCACTCCCTGAAACAATTCCATAAGCAGCATAAGGCGCTGGGACCCATCACAGAGGTCACCTCAGATCCCCGAGGACGAGGCTTAGAGACTGCAACAAGTGGGCCAGCTAAGCTGTTTGCCTCCTGTAGAGAGGGAAACTGATGCCCAAAGAATACATGGAATTTGCCCGGAGTCTGCATACGCCATGCAAACCTCTTGACCAGATAAAACCCCTTAGAATACTCATTCAATTTAGACTGCTATAATTCAAAACAGAGGCAGAAAAAACAAGCCTGTGCAAAGCCAACACAAACAAAAAATAAATAAAAATAAACAGGGCTCAGATTACAGCTCTAGGTCAATGGTAGAGTGTTTGCCTAGCATTAGTAAAGCCCTAAATTCAAGTCCTCAGCACCAACCAGCACCCTTCCAAAAGAAAAGAAATAACACTCAAAGATGGCCGACAAAGTCAAATGATGGGACCAGAGAGGGCGTGGTGCACACCTTTAATCTCAGTACTTGGAAAGCAGAGGCAGGTGGATGGACCTCTGTGAGTTCTCGGCCAGCCTGATCTACATAGAAAGTTCCAGTTCTGTTAAGACTACATGGTGAGAACCTGTCTTAAAACAAAAACAGACAACAGAGAATGTAGGTGGACAGAGAGAACTCCTCAGCTAACTTGGGGAGCTTGAACTTGGCTCGTTTCAGGATGCTTCTGGCCCAGTGACCATGACATGTATCTACCTGAGCTATATACCACTGCTGGAAATCCTTCCTACGCCCCCATGTCCAGCCAAGATGCATGGAGTTGCATGGTAAAGTCCTGAGTCATCCAAATGACTTCTGTCTTCTCCATCTCATTCACCTTGCTTCCTTCTGCCACAGGCTTCTACTGAGTGCATTGACCCCTCCCCCAAACCTAGAACTTCACAACTTCCCGAAAGTAAGGTCAGTGTTCCCTTGGTCCTCATCATCCTCTACTTTATGGAGCCAACACGGAAGCTGCTATTTCGCAAAAGGTAGAGATAATTCCTGGAATCTCTCCCAGCTCTGGAACCAGAGAAATCAGCTGTGCCGTGATAAAACAGGGAACACTTTAATCCTAGCTTTGTGTTAGCAGAGAGACTGTTGCCTCAAGGAGGGACAGCTGCAGCCTCCCAGATACCAAAGTTTGGAAGGGAAAAACACATGCTCTATGCCCACCAGCATGTCAGGCAGGCACAGAGTGGAGCCAGCCTTCTCTGGGTCAACCGTTAAACAGCCCTGCGAGGCAGAGAAGGTGCAGGGGTTAACAGCACATTCTGCTCTTGCAGAGGACTCCAGTTCAGTTCCCACATTAGTTAGCTCACTAGCGCCGGTAACTTCAGCTTCCAAGAAGATCCAACTCTTGTTTTGTTTTTTGAGACAGAGTTTCTCTGTGTAGCTTTGGCTGTTCTGGAACTCGCTCTGTAGACCAGGCTGGCCTCGAACTCAGAGATCCACCTGCCTCTGCCTCCTGTGTGCTGGGATTAAAGGTGTGTGTCATACCCCCCATCCCCCAGTGAAGTCCAACTTCTGGTCTCCGAACTCATGAGCACATAACTACACACACACATATTTTAAAAATAATAAAAATAAATCTTAAAAAAAAACAAAACAAAACAAAAATCGCCGGTGTGGTGGTGGCACACACCTTTAATCCCAGCACTTGGGAGGCAGAGCCAGGCAGATCTCTGTGAGTTCGAGGCCAGCCTGGTCTCCAAAGTGAGTGTTTAGTGGATGATGGTTTAGTGGTTAAGAATGCTTACTGGTCATCCAGAATATTCAGGTCCGGTTCTCAGTACCCCCATGATGCCTCACAACTAACTTCCTGCAACTCAAGTTTGAGGGGATCCAATACCCTCTTTTGACTGATCTCTGCAGGCTCCTGCACACACATGTCGCACATCACTCAGGCTCACACATACAGGTAAAATAAATAAACCTTGAAAAAAATTACTTTCGCTGGGTGGTGGTGACACACGCCTTTAATCCCAGCACTTGGGAGGCAGAGCCCGGCGGATCTCTGTGAGTTCAAAGCCAGCCTGGGCTACCAAGTGAGTTCCAGGAAAGGCGCAAAGCTACACAGAGAAACCCTTGGGGGGGGGGGCGCGACACCAGCCCACAAAGGGTCGGCAACAGACACTGAACTCCCATTTGTCTCACTCACTGTCTGAGTAGAACTGAGTGCCTGAGGAGGTATTGGTAGGCCTCATCAAACTCCATGGAAAGAGGAGACCCTGAGAGTTCCTCACTTATTCAAGGATACTGAGTGACCACACTATCCTGGAGACACTGGGATCTGGTGACTCTGAGACCAAAATCAAGAAACCCTCCCATCTGTCCACATTCTGGGTCAAAACAAACAATCTGCTAACATTTTAGTTTGATTTCTTCTTTTTCTTCTCCTCCTCCTCCTTCTGTTTGTTTGGTTTTTTGTTTTTGTTTTTTGTTTTTGTTGTTTTTTTTTTTGATAAAGGGTTTCACTGTGTAGCCCTGCCTGTCCTGGAACTCACTCTGTAGACCAGGCTGGCCTTGAACTCACAGAGATCTGCCTGGCTCTGCTTCCCAAGTGCTGGGATTAAAGGCGTGCGTCACCACCACCTGGCTATTCTTACTCATTTTAGGAGCGTTTCCTTTTGACTTCCCTCTTAACTCTGCCTTCCAAATTCCACCCAGGTTAATTAAAACTCAGTTTCCTAGCAGGGTGCTGTAGCATGTGCCTGTGCGCCCCAACACATGGGAGGTGAGGACAGGAGGATGTGAAGTTCAAGGCCAACTGGGCTACAGCAGCCAGACCTTGTCCCCAGAACAAAGAACTTGGTTTCATCCAAGGGCATGTCTTACATAGAGCCAAGCCACCCTGGTTGGGGCAGGGAGAGATCACCCCACAATTTTTACAACAGCTGTGAACTCAAGCCAACATCCCTGACACCACCAAGATGAAGTCCCAGGGTCGCCTTATTAAGGCCACAAGGACCCAACTCTCTGACTATAGCAGTCACGGTTCTCGGGGTACAAAGAAGGAATTCTGCCAGTCTCTTCTGCAGAGTCCCATTTTTGTCAAGCAACTGTGGCTGGCAAAGACCCAATGGGCCTCAGCCTGAAAAAAGGTTCGGGAACAAACTAGCCGCACAACCTCCCTCCCTCCCTCGGCTCCTACCTAATAGGGTTTTCCTCTCACCACCCCCAGGCTCTTTCTTCTTACTTTCTTCAAAGCACTTATTCACTATCTGAAACTCTCACTTCCATAATCACTCGTTTTCCTCCTTCCAAGGGATCTTGGTTCCACGAGAACACTTAGGGAACATGCAGTGCCTGGCAGCATAGGCCGCTCAATAATTGGGTACAATTCAACAAGTGAACCGTCGGAAGGCCTCACTTTGTGCCAGATGCGGGGCACTGGTGGGTGACGGGCGAGAGAGGGGGCGTTCTCTCGCTCCAGCCCAAAATGGCACAATGAAGGAGCTGGAAGCCGGGGGTGGAGGTCCTGCTGGAGGACCCCAGAGGGGTTTCCTAAGGCTCTTCCCGCCACGAGCGCCCCCTGGCCTCGCGCCCCGCAGGCCCCGCGCTCACCCGCTGCAGCTCCATCTCGATCTCGCCGGCCTTGAGCACGATGGGTCCGCGCACCGCGTACTCCACCGCCTTCACCTGCGGGTTCATGGACTCCAGAGTGAGGATGCGGTCCCGAGGGCTGCGCTCCGGTCGCACCTTGAGCGCGGCGGAGGCTTCGGCTGCAGCGCTGCTGTGACTACGGCCCCAGGGGCCCGAGGCGCGGGGGCAGGAGCCCCGCCGCACCAGCACCGCTGCCCGCTGCATCGCGAACCTGCCGAGGATAACCCTGGTCCAGAAAGAACAAGAGCAAGACATCGCGCACAGCCCCGGGTGGACGCTAGTGCCCCAAGAGCCCAAGGCTCTGGGCCAGCAACGCCAGCCTAGCTCCAGGGCTGGATTCCCACCCCCTGGTTACCGGGACACCGCACCGCGCCACTGCAGCACTAAGACGCTGCACCGCTGGGTGGCCGGGGCTGAACCTAAGGTGCGAATGCAACGTGCCTGTCGCCGCCGGACCGCCCGCACCGCTCCGGTTAGTGAGCTCCTGGGCTGCTCCCAAGCTGAGTGGCCGGCCACCACCGCATCCCGGCGCCAGGCACCCGCACCTCCTGGCCCCCTGCATTCGCACACCCACCGCCGCCGGCTCCGCCTCCGGCCTGCGCGCTGGCTTCTGGGTCTTGTAGTTGTCTTGGATGTACCAAGGATGCTGTGAGGAGCCAGATAAACTACAAGTCCTCTAAGGCCTGGCGCAGGCCCGACCGGGCTGTGCAGGGGGCGGGGAGTGGCCGTCTGGGCGGGCTCTTGTGGGGACAGAGAATCCCGACTGTACAGCGGCAGCTGTCCTTTCCAGAGGCTTTTGGAATTTAGTTATTTGCTGCTTGGCTGCTTCTCCCTAGACGCAGACTCCGCCTCCCTCCACCCTCACCTCGCGACACCTACGGGGACGTGGAGGGCGAGGTGATGCAGCCTTCGCCTTGAGTTTCATCATCCAGGCCATATGGTTCTACTGGCCGGCCGCTCAGGGGCAGCTGGTTAGGGAGTAGGGCCACTACGACTTGATGTGCCACCCGGCTTCTCATTTTCAGTGTTCTTGTCAGCAAAGAGCTGGGGGAGGGGGGATATCAGAAAGGACCACACACCGAGTGGTAAGGTTTTTCAATACCACTGTCGGAAGCCTCACCTATATCATTTCCATTTTATTTTCTTTCTATCCTTCCCCGCATCTTAAATTACCTCGTTTAGATACTTCTCGCGTGCTCGTGCTCAGAAGGGCAGGAACAATGTCTTTCTTGCCTGTTTTCACATCTCTAGCACATAGGCACTTAGTAAATATTTGTTGAACAATGAATGCACAGGACATGGTGGCAATTACTTTGGGCAAAAGTATCCAGCCAGTAGGGTCCTTCACCCGTGCGCTTTGAATGTGCGAAGCAAGCTTGGGACAAGACTAGGTTGGGTGTGCAATTGGTGCAAATGTAGGGTCACCCATGCTGAGCCCCAAACATCTACAAAGAGGACATGGTGGAGGAGGCGCTTCCCTTCTCTCTGCCTCAGACTCCCCATCTGCAAAATAAATTGGGTTAAATGGCCTGTCTTTTCCCTGGTTGCCTTGGAAATTGTGTGATTCTGGGAGTTTTCAGACAGAACAGCCCAGGGCTTGCTCAGCCCCAACAAACAGACACTTAAGGCTTGTGAAAGTTGGGGAGAGGAGACGCTGAATGAACACATCAGTGTAGGGGAAACAGTGGCGGGAAATCGGGGCGCTGAGAATAACTTCATACAACCACTTCTTTTTTAAAAAATGTAACTTAATTAAATTTATTTATTTATTGTGTGTGTTGTTGTTTTTCCTACAAGTATGTCTGTATGAGGGTGCCAGATGCCCTGGAACTGGAGTTACAGACAGATATATGAGCTGTCATGTGGGTGCTGTGAATTGAACCAGGGTCTTTTAGGAAGAACAGTCAGTGCTCTTAACCTCTGAGCCATCTCTCCAGCCCCTATAACCACTTCTGAGTCACCTGACTTTAAGCACGGTCACCACCCCCATATGTGAAATGGGGGTAACAGTACCTACGGTGTGCACCTGAGGAGAAGCTTCCAAAGGAGCCTGGCAGAACTTGGATCCTGAAGCTGCACACCACTCTTGTTGATCTCTCCTCAAGGGAATACCGAATGCTTTGATCAAACCAATTAATTACTCCTGAGGCAGGGATGTGTCGGGGAGAACGGAAACCAAAGGTAGCAAACTGGCCTGACTCCTCAGGTGCCGGCACGGCGGCTGTTTGGGTGGCACAGGGGGCTGCCGCCTCTCCCCACTCCGCTCCCTCGTCATTGTCTCCGTCATCTTTCTTCTCTTACAAGAAAAGAGTTTATTAAGGCAGAGGAGCACAGAGGTGAGCCAGGCCCTCCCTGTGGCCTGGATCCCAGAAAGCAAGAAGGAAGAGGCGCTGTTTGGGCTTTTGTTTTGTTTTTCCTTATTTTATGTGTACAAGTGTTTTATCTTCATGGATGTGGGTACAGTGCAGAGGCCAGAAGAGGGGATCGGATCCCCTGAAATTGGAGTTACAGACAGTTGTGAGTGGCCCTGTCAGTGCTGGGAACCAAACCTGAGTCCTCTAGAGTAGCAATCCGTGCTCCTAACCACTGAACATCTCTTCAGTCCATGTTTGGGCTTTTAATTGACCAGCACCTCTGTCAACAGGTCTCCTTCCTGACTTCTGTCTCAGTGCCCACACATTCAGTCTCCAGATTGAAGATTCTCCCAGGGGCGTCGGACCTCTGAGTATTTCACTGCTTTCTATGTCCCATTATTACTCACGCTGACTAGTTGAAGCACCACACAAACACACCCCTCCACCTCCAAAACACACTTAACTTTGACCTATTCACTGTCCTTTGAGTCACCGTCCTGTCCTAGCTGTCTCTACCGTCATCGGTAGGAATAAGGGCTCTGGGAGGAGGCTTCTCAGAAGGTACACCACCCAGCGTGCTGCATACTTAACACCCGCTCCCACATCATCCTTGCAAAACACGAGCAGTTCATGTCCCTAACGTGTCCAGTGCCACTGTGTCTCTGAGATTGCATAAGAAAGCACCCCCAGGCTTGGGAGTGTGACTCAGTGGTAGAAGGCCTGTCTAGCATTCTTGAGGTCCAGAGTTCAGTTCTGAGGTGGGGAGGGGAGAGCCCTGACAGAAACAACAAACAAAACGCCTCTCCTGTGAGCCACCCTCAACTGTGTACAAAGCACAAAAGGGCAAGCAGCAGTATTTCTGCTCTGCAGTCTCAGGTTAAGCAACTTGTTCAGCCAGCCAGGAGCATGGAGTAGGAACGATGCTTCAAACCAGGCATTATAGTCCTGTCCCGTCCCGTCCCGTGTCCCCCCCCCCCCCCCCCCCCCCCCCCCCCCCCCCGTTGCCTATGCACTCCTGCTCCTCCAATTTGCTGGGACTTTAGGGCCAGGCTTGTGCAACAATCTGAATTTGGAAATTGGAATTGTTGATTGCAATGCACTAAGCTTTGAAAAGTTTCTTCATGGTACTTGTAATAGGGGGCAATTCTGTGAACTTTGTTTTTATTTTGCTCTCCCAGCTGGGGACCAGTATGAACAAGAGCCTAAATACTGAAAATAAAACCTGACTGAAATGATCATGAATGTCCTTCCCCAAAGCAAGATGAGTGTTCCAAACACACAGCAAATGCAGTCTACCCACACAGTTGGTTATGAGTTTGGAAGACCTGGTACTTCATTCCTTAATGCAACGAGGTCTTTTTGGAGTCTCATCCTGTGCTAGGCACTGTGCTGAGTACTAAGACATCAGTAACTCAGACAGACTGTCCCTGCATGGAGCTGTTTCATAACAAAAGCAGATGCCATTGAATTCATCCCACACCCAAACTGTAATAACTGCTGGCGAGAACGAGATGGCATTCTGGGAGAGCAAAGAGGCCTGAGCGAGAATTAGCCAGATTAAGTGGCCTGTGAGCTCTGGAGAATGATGGACAGCAGTATTGATAGTGTAGTCTTCGAGGGGACAAGGGTCTTCTGGAAGCAGGAAACAGACTAGCCCATGTAGACTGAAGGAGAGAACTGACTTCCTAAAGTTTCCCTTTGACCTCTGCACATGACTGAGGCACACGTCCCCATCCACATACATCATGAGCACACATACACAAAATAAGTAAATCTCTCCCCACCCCACCCCCAAAGCAACATACAGAATTCAAATCTGATAAGGGCTTAATACCCAGATATTTGCACCAGGTGGTGGTGGTGCACGCCTTTAATCCCAGCACTCCAACACGGGAGGCAGGGGCAGGCGAATCTCTGTGAGTTCGAGGCCAGCCTGGGCTACAGAATGAGCTCCAGGACAGGCTCCAAAGCTACACAGAGAAACCCTGTCTCGAAAAACTAACCAACCAATCAACCAACAAACAAACAAAGGAATACCCAGAAATCCAAGAAACTGAGGGACAAAAATAATAATAATAATAATAATAATAATAATAATAAGCCGGGTGGTGGTGGCGCACACCTTTAATCCCAGCACTCGGAAGGCAGAGCTAGTATATAGAGTGAGGTCTAGGACAGGCACCAAAACTACACAGAGAGACCCTGTCTCGAAAAAACAAAAAACAAAACAATGATAATAATAATAAACTGATTTGAGAAGGGGGCAAGCTACCTTGTGGACTAACCATATCACAAGCTTTGGGATCAACTGAGAGTCCCTTTCTCAATGAGGAAGGTCGAGAGTGATCTAAGAAGACTCCTATCTTCAACTTGGGGTCTCCAAACACGTGTGCATGCAGATGTACCCACACACATGCATATGCCGTATACACATGAGAGAAAGGGGGCAGGGAGCTGAACAGACATTCAAGAGAAGAAAATGACCAACAGATATACGAAAAGGTGTTCAATATCACTAATAGTCATCTGAGAAAGGCAAATCAAAACCAAAGTGAGATGTCATCTCACCCAATAGAAGGCTATTATTAACACACACACACACACACACACACACACACACACACACACACACACACACACACAATGTGTGTGAACAAGAATCCCTGGAAAGAAGCTGAGTTTGCAAAGGCTGATTGATGAGTACCGTGGTGATGTAGAGGGGTTAGAATGTTGCAGATCCAGAGCCTAATTACAATTTATTTCCAGCTAAAGTTAACCCCTAATTAGTCATTCCTTGCTCACCTCTGGGGTAGACCTAACATCCTGTGACTAACAGATAAAACCCTTTTGGAGTCTATTAACTTAGCAGATCCCTAGCTTCCCACCAACCCAAATTCCCTTTAACTGGAATTGTCTATGCACTAAGGTTCAAGATAATAGACTCAGAACCAGATTGGATGAGCCACAGTGGGAAAATGTGCACCAGAGGTCCGCATTCTGGTTTCAAATTTATCATCAGTGTAGCTATATAATCTCCTGACACTGTCATTCCCAGTTTTATCCTTGAGATCCTCTGTGCACAATTTCTTGAATACCCATCTGATTTCTGAGCTACTTTGTGTTGTAAGAATGAACATGGCCTCTCCAGCGAGATTGGCTTCCTATACAGTGAGCCTGTTTCCTCACAGGTTACCAAGGTGACAATACTTGCCTCACAG